GCCTCTGTCTTGTAAGTGGAATATTTTTATGTTGTCATCCTAAAATGTAGAGACTCGGACTGTGCATTAGAAAGCAAATAGGTCTTAATATTTTGAATCACTCTCATGCGTTTCCATGCATACAAAATGAACACCTGTCAAAACCAAATCTTGTCACAAGAAAATGGCTTAAAACAGGCATACTTCTTTTTTGCTATCGTAATGTCCTGCGATAGCCTCGATTTACAGTCATGTTAAAGTATCAGCAATGAACTGAGTTCTGTAAGAAAAATATTGTAGGATACTATTCTGAAATAGGAAGTGAGGGCTGTTTATGTTTCTTGGTGTGGCCCTGCATGGATTTGGTAATAAATCCACGTTTTGATAATGCTAAAAGACAGCTCTTAGACACCTGGACAGGAGTGACCAGGTTGTGCTTGCACAAAACCTCAAAGCCACAGAGTTTTGTTAGGATATAGATCTTCACAGCCATGTTGAGGAATGTGTATGAAATGTTTTCCTAGCAAGTAGGTTAGGCAAACGCATGTGAGATTTGTAATGACATGAAGATAATTTGCATCTTTCATTAGGTCTGAAATATCAGGTAGCTTTGGAAGAAGCAACGCACTTTTCAGTCTTTCATATAAAGAAATGCTTGGTGTTTCTTGGGAATAAAACAGTGAATTAGGGACAGTGAATTTCTTGCTCTAGGGACTCCGTTTGGTTTGTCCGTCTGTACTGGAGATCGAATAGGTACGGTTTCACCAGGAAAGAGCGCATTAGAGCTGATAGGTGGTGTGCAGTATAGTCTGGTCGTAACGTTTATTGAATTAGTTTTATGTGAAGGCTGGATTAATTCCTTTTAAATTTTGGCGAGGTCCCTGTTTTTAAGCCTAGATCTCTCAGCTGCTTGAAACGTATGCTTTTAGGACTTTTATAGATGAGTGAATTTGGTGTACTAATTGTTCTGGGTTATGCTTGTAACAGGATTTGTACTACAGAGCAGGAAGATTGCACACTGGGTGTTCTCTCCCCTGCCCTTACTACTTTGTGTTTGTTGAAGGCTCTCTGGGAGTACTTTGCCCTTATTTGACCCATGACAGTTTTGTTTTGCCTTTTTTAATTGGTAAAGTAAATAGGAAGCAGTCAGTATTTAATTCTGAGAGGAAACAGCAAGTGATCCCAACGCTTCTGAATGGTTTCAAAAAACTGGCTGAACTAAGGACTCGCTTAAAAATCGGTCTTTATCCCTTTCAGCCTCGAACAGAACAGATACTGTCTACTTGAACGTGGCTTGAATAACCTTTGTTAAGGCTAAAATTCAGAAGGATGAGTTTAGGCTAAGCATACTGCAAACTTCATGCCTCTAAGCAACCACTTACAGTTTCAGCATGGGGGTGGGCAACAAAACCAGTACAAAACCCATGTTTTTCTAACAACTCAAATTTGTGACTGTAATTCAGTACCAATATTGAATTGTCCTTTTGCCCTGCAAATTGTGTAGGCTGAATCACCTTGTAGTAGCCAACTGCTACGTGAAACATTTATGCAAAATGTAAATGCACGGCTTATCTGGAGGTATAGATACAGGAGTAACCTGCTGCAAGGCAAACTAAGCTTCAAATTTGCAGCTCTGGTGTATTCTGTATAGCAGCCACATGATCTTAACTTCAGTTAACGTAAAAAACTTACCCATCTCTCACTGAAGGATAGGTTGTCATTCTGCATTTCCCGAAGGATAAAAGTGAACACGTTTGTAAAGCAGAGCAGTTAATAAGACATTAATTAACACGCTAGTTTATTTGTTCCATAACCACAACCTGATGCCGCACGAGGCAGTGAAGCCAAGAATGCTTCTACATACGCTTTTCTCCGTGACAACATGATTTCTGTTCCTGTGTTTCCCCTGAGTTGTTAGCAAAATGATCACGGTTAAAATGATACACTTTTATGTAGTGGAAAGAGTAAAGCTCTCCTTAAATTGGAATTGTTGCTGGGGGAAAAAAAAGGCTATGGAGCTGTGTTTTGAAAATATCCGAAATATATCTGTTTGCAGGAAAACACACAACAATGTGTATCTGCAACCCTCCCCCCCCCCAATAGGTTTTGTAGCTGCCTGGGAACTCGCCTAGTGTTTAGTCTAATGGCGTAATCTCTTAGATTACAAAAAATTGTCACCACTTTTGCAACAGAGTTGTTGAGCTGTCTATAGTTAGCCTTTTGGTAAAAATAACCTAAAAATATAATGGAACCTTAAGTGGAGCTGTATCTTTTCCCTAACCGTTCTCAGTGCTTTTGGTGTTTGTTACTGGTCTGACTCTGGCATGACACCGCATTTTGTGAACTAACTAGATCTTGAGTTTGTCTTTTAATCAGGCTTGCCTTTAAATGCTATTTCTTCATTCTCTTCTCTCTTGACCCAAATTAGATTTGGAGTTGTAAAAGTGGAAAGGAAATAGTGTCTTGGGTGGTAGCTTGGTTTGTTTCTTCGTATGGCTTTTAAAATAATTTTAATTTCAGGACAAAATCATCCAAGTGGTAAATATAAAAAAATCAGTGACAGATAAGTTTCAGCCTCATAATCCCAAGACATAATATGAACCTTTTTACAGTGTCAGTATTGCTGTCAATGAAACATAGAAAATAACCTGCTAGCTTTTCCTAGCCTAGGCTGGTGTCTGTCATTTTCTCTGCGTACTTGGTACGCTTATATGAAAATGGGAAGCGGGATGCAAAGGATGGAAATCGAAGCAGCTCACTTGGTGTTTGCTAGAGTTCCTAGGCAAGGAGTTGAAACTTCAGGCAAGATTAACAGGAGTTTGAGCGCTTAATTGCAGCAGTTCCTGTGCTTCTTTTCTGAATCCTCAAATATGCAGCCTATGTGAATTGTTTTGCTTAACACTCCTACATCTGGTGGCAATTCTAGTTATATTGGAGTGACACACATGTTGCCAGCAAATTGGCTGTTTGCAGGACAAACTACTTTGGAACCTACTCAGAACAGCCTGTTATCTCAGAAAATACGGTTGTGGTAGTTGGGAAAGCTTTTTGTTTTTCTGGCCAGAAATTAATCTTTCCTTTGGTCAGGATTGCTATTAAATAGAAAAGCTATTTTCAAACTGTTTGTAAACATGACCTCAGAATTAGAACGTGTAGGAAAATGGGTTTGGGTTTTAGCAAATGGGAGGTATTTTTAGCCAAAATGCTGCTTCAGCTTATCATAGGAAGTACAGTTCAGGACCTGTTATTCCCATTCTTCTCTGTGGACTGAGATTTCTAGTAAGAATAAATCTGCGATAACGTACCAGTCAGTCCTGGAGGCCAAAGCAATGCATCACCGGAGAAGTGCAAGGAAATGGCTCACATAAGCACACGTAGTGATAAAGGCAATTTGAGTGCAGTTTTGCAAGTGGTGTAGCGGTTGTCTATTGTTTGAAATTCATGCTTTGTTACTTGTTAAAACATTTGGAGAGTCAGAGTATCTTGAAAAATAGAATTTTTCCATGTGAGTTGTTTTTACACAGTTGTAGGTTTGAGATTTCTACAAAAAGTTTTTTAATTGGTTGTATCCAGGCCACTGACAGATGAGCCGTACTGCATTCAGGTGTATCAATTTAGGAGTCTGTTGCTCTTTGAGGCAAAATTGCCGAAATGGAATATAGGCCCATTTGTCAGTCGCTTGAGCACCAAGTCTGGCAGTTGCACTTTAAACTACAGAGTTGACTGAGCTACTGAACTTTGCACTGGAGTAGCTGGAGCAGTGGTTTTGCTCACTGTGCTGTGGAGCTGCTAATCTTCAGCAGGGACAAGAGTGGTTGTCTGTCCTGTGAATTGAGGTAATGTGTGTAGATTTGCTAAAGTCTGTGTCACCTGCCCTAGGTGAGGGAGAGGCTCACTTGAAATTCTGGTTCCTTTAGACCCAGGTGATGCGCAGGCTTCTTTGTCCACAGTTTGTAAAGCAAAATGCAAAACTAATGCTTCTGTAATGACCCTCTGAGCATTAAAGAGAGTCGAAAACTTTTATCTCCTCTTAAAACTTCCAGAATTTCCTTGGCATATTCAAAAAAAACTTTTATATAGCATTTAACTTGCTTTAATTTGTGATTGTGGAGGAGCTGCTCATTTGCAGGGACTAACTTTATTAGCTTTAGCTAGTTCAGTGGTAAGAAATGTGCATGGGGATATTCTTAATTTTATTTGCACAGAAATTCTAATCTCTGTATTCAACCAGGTAAATTGAATAAAAATGTTTGATGACATTGGTTATGTCAGGCGTTTGGCAGCCGTAAAGGAACAGAACAACATACGTGGTGTCACTGAAGTGCTTTAACAGAAGTATTAAGAGTGTTCTCAGCCTAGCTCTGAATCTTGATCATTCAAGTAGTCTCCTACTGGTAGAAACTGTGAATTTGAAATTTGTATTGGTCTGAGAACATTGGGGTCCAGTTTTCTTCTGAAGAGATATGCTAATTTGTTAACTGCACAAAACCTAGCATGATCTCCCTCAACTATCCTTTTAAAATACAAGCATGAACCAATCACCCATACGTAAAGAACAATATAAGCACCTAAGTTTAGGAGAGGTCTTAGGGCTATGGATCCTTTTCATGCATAGATGGCTTAGCAGCTTATGCTACTAGAGCCTTGCATGGACGCTCTAGGTAGGTGTTTAAATTCAGGGAGGCAGGATTTCATACACATCTCCCATCAGTGCTTCTCTGTCAGATAATTTAGCTATCCTTAGGGTCAGGGTAAGTGATTGCTGGGTCTAATGCTTCATTCAGGTGCTGTGGAAAGATATAAGTAATGCAGCTTTGTGTTTTCTACTTCAGAGTGAATATCTAACCCCCTTTCTCTGAATCTAGATCCAAAATATTTTCCTTTCAGAGGTACCTCCATTGATATTTTGCAGAAGCTCAAATTTTCCACAAGGACCTTTATCACAATAGTGGTTGACCCAAAGTGACTAAATGTATATTTTGGTGCCTATTGGAAGTATTCTTTTTTTTTCTTCTAGGACGTGAAAATCTAAGAAATGAACAAATTACGGCAAAGCTTTAGGAGAAAGAAAGATGTCTATGTCCCAGAGGCCAGTAGGCCTCATCAGTGGCAGACTGATGAAGAAGGTGTTCGTACTGGCAAATGTAGCTTTCCTGTTAAGGTAAGAGTTTCTGCCTTTCTTTCGGTTAGCCACGAGATACTCTTGCCATGAAATATTGTTTGGGTTTTTCTGGCAAGCATAAGCCAGTGGCATGCTTCATTACACATTGACCTATTTTATAGCTAGCTCTCATTGCAAAGGATGTGAGTTTTTTTTAAAGCCAGATGAATCATATAACAAATGTCTTGGAAAATTGCTGTCTGATATACTACATCATTGAAGTAAATCATGTAGCTAGGCAGAGAAGTAATATTTGTTTTCTTTTTTCTGGAAGAGCAGAAATGATAAACCTCTTAGACTGCATAGATGAGTACTTAGTTCTGTTTATTAAAAGTGAAGGTATTAGTTACAATTTTGCTTGGAAGGTAAGCTGTGGGTTGTACTTGGAAAGGAATCCTTCCTCCCTTCTGATAATTGAAAAACTTGCAAAACAATACCTGTCTTGTCTTCCAGTGCTTGATATATGCTTTGAGTTGCTGTTTTGAGAGTATCTTCTGCGTTATGATTGTTATATAATATATATGTGTTTTTATGTATATTTATGTGCATTATATATAGTATGTAAAAATAGAATGTGTATGTGTATATCTGTCAGAAATTGTTAATGCATTTGGAACTTACATTAATCTTTTTGAGTCCTTGGTACTCATTCCAGATTGAGCATTATAAATATGTATTTTCCTTTGTGTCATCATTTCTCTTTCCCTTTCTTAAAATTTGTGCTTTCCTTTATTATGCCTATATTGAAAAAGCTTTTTGAGTTGCTTCATTTGAGGAGAGTTCTACTATGCCATCTCAACATGCTTGTCAGTGTCTATACTGAACAGTGTAATGTAGCCCAAAAGGTGCAGGTGCTTCTTGGTAGGGGAAAAACAGATAATTAGGGTGTTTTGCTGCATATGCTCACCCTCTAACCAAAACCTTCCCGCCTCAAGGCGCACTAATACTATCTCTGTAATAGGCCTTTAGCGGCTTAAGGTTTAAATATTTGCATAAGGAAAAAATGTCTATGCTTCTGGCACCTAAGGATCTTTCATTAGTTTTTATCTCTGTGTTATACTTGAAGTGATTCTGTGCAGTTGTTAAACAAGTGATGCTGCTAGGTGGAACTCCTGAAATGGGCTTTGGCTGTGGGTATCGGAGTGAAGGAGCTGCAGTGTAGTACTGAAAAGAGGTGATGCTTTATCGGGGCTCTCAAAGGGAGTAACTTTTGCAACTGCTCTGTGGAAGCTTGATTGTGCTTTTTTAATATTAACACTGTCTAGATGAGAGCAGAACTATTAGCTTGAAGATTGTTGTTTTAATAGCTTGGCCATTATACGGGTGTAAAAGCTAAAATGTCTAACTTCCAGATTTTTAGACATTTAGTTTAATTCAAACTTTGTCAGTCCTTTACTGATCACGAAGGCTGTGAACAGCTTCTTGCTGTTTAAAGACTGAATTTGTTTGTTTGGCGTTTTGTTTTGTTTTGTTTTTAAACCTCTTGGTCAGGACTTGCAGTTATAATGGCAAACGCTTCCTGTATTTAGATGACGTATTCATCTATTCTGGGCACATGTGCCTCCAGTCAGAAAAGGTTTGGGGCTATTCTGTGGTGAAAAGGCATAGAAATGGATGAGAATCCTTGCATCCTGTCATCCTCCTGGAATTTGTTTAGCCTTATTTGCCTGCTCTGTATTGAAATTCACTCGTACAGTTGAGCTAATTTATCCATTGGAAAAATTACTCTGAAGTAAATGTATCTTTCCTTACGTTTCCTCATTCAGTCAGCATGGTGGGCTACCGCTATTTGAAGAAGCTGTAATCAGATGAAAACTTTAAATCAGAACAATCTGCCATTGAGAGGTGTGTTAGCTTATTCAGTTAGAATTTATCTTCCAAAATACGGTGCCTTGAGATGGGCAGCAGTGGAAAGTTTTATTAGGCTTGGGATGCAAAGTGGGTGTTAACTAGGGCTTAACAGATAGAGACAGGAAGTATGCCATTGTGAGCAAACAAGATAAACCAGATGTGGAGTCATCAGTTTAGTGGGTGGTACTGTATTTTGTTCACCAAAAGAATAGGAGTTTGTGCTATTGAAGGAGAGTATCCTGTCACGCAGTTCTTGGGTATTATTCAGAAATTCATACATTCCAGGAAAAGCTTGCTGTCATCCATTGCCTTAAATATCTGATGAGGTTTCTTTTCTTTCTGAGCCTCCTCAACGGAGCAGAAGAAACTGAGATATCTTGGAAAAATGCGTTCAAGTCTGAAACATGATGATCTTCGTTTTTTAAAAGTTTCTGAGTGGGCATTCTGGAGTGGTCTGTGGCCTGCAGTATATCTGCTCAAGCACAGTTTAGTGTGTTTTTGTGGGGGTTACATTTGACCTTCATCTTTAGGGTCTGCCTTCCCTTCTCTAAAAATTATCAGCCACTGTTTTAGAAACTCAAAATATAGCTGAGTGGCAAGATTGGAGTCTGGCTTTGAAAGAGATGACAATTGTTTTTACCTGTAGAGCTGATGGAGGCCTGAGAATTGTTAACGGATGTCCCTGCAGCTGTAGTCAAAATTTCCTCTTTGAAAGAAAAATACGTGAAAGCAACGTAGTAGGAGTCATGGTGAAATCTTTGTTTCTTTTAATACTTATTAATTTCTTTAGCTAAGGTTCTTAAGGTCTGATCTTTGGGAAGAGGAGACTAGTGTGAAAGCAGAGTAGAGAATGTTTGCTCTCAGTTTATCTTGTAAAAGAGACAGATCAGGAAAGTGTGGTGGGAGAAAGATATGTCACTCTCTTAAGTGCTAAGTTGGTATGTGTTTAATTTCTTGCCTTTCGGGCGCCTTTTTTTTTTTTTTTTTTTTTGCCCAGAATTAGAGCATTTGTAGAGCGCTACCACAGATTTATCTTTTTTTAGATTTTACAGAACATATGGAACCACTTGAGAAGTCCTGCTGCAAACAGAATTTCATCTTGCCTCCAGGCTTTGTTCTGTTAGTGTTGGACAGGGACTCCAGTAGCTGTTCGCTCCTCATGCTTTGAGGATGCTGTTCTGCAAACAAACTTAATATTATTAAAAGGTTTTCTACGCTGGCGCTGTTCTTGATAGATTTCCTGTGCTACATTAACAGCTGACCCGTGGTGTAAATTACAGTCTATAAATGTGGCGTAGGATTTTGAGCAAATCTCATGTGCTCTCTGAAGTGTTTGCTTTTGGGCAGAGTCGATTTTCTGTGGAAACTATTGGTCAAATTCCTATTGCATAAGTTGCCTTAAAATTCAGGGAAGTGGATCTGATGCATAGTTGATTCTCTTCATTTCTGTGTCCTAAACTTGGGGCTTGTACAGTTACTCCTGGGTGTACTGTTAGTCTTAGGTAATAATGTCTTAGGCTTTGGTTTAACAATCTCTTTTCCCACAGGTTTCAGAATGGCTGCGTTGTGTGTAACAAGCTGCTGATCATATTGTCTCATCCTGGTTATCAGTGCACATAGGATTTATTTACAGATTATTTACAGATAGCTCATCACTGTATTTAGTATCGAACCAAGGCTGATAAACCAAGGTGGTAATCCAACACATCCAAAATCAGGCTTGGGAGTGACTAGTAACTTCCCTGCACAGCTCTTCTACATAAACTCTTTCGAATTGACTAAAAATGCAAAAAAGAGCCATAATACTGGGACATAAAACAGACTATCCTTTTGCACTCTACTGCATCAGGAGAGGCACAGATACCTGTCTGGCAGCAAAGGTATGAACAGGGTATTAGGCTTGTATTTAGATAAGTGTGACTTGCAGACTGTTAGTATCCCTTGGGCACATAACGTGAATGCTCTGTTAACTCTAGTAGGAATGGAGGCATGATACCTTGTGTCAGAAGTGCCCCTTTATTGTTACATGTGCAACAGTTTCAGCTGCAGAAAAATTTGTGCATAAATTTATTTTCAAAGGTGATCATGCTCTTCCACTGTCCTAAGACAAATTATAAGTGCTGTGTTTCAGTAGTGAGCCCTCCCTCTGAGGGGAAAAAAACTGTGCCAGATATATGTAATGTTTAAGGGACCACTGTTCAGAAGTAGATTATTCTACCGGATGATAAAGCCACTCTTATCAGTGATATAATTTATTTTTACACAATCTTCATAAATCATAATAGCAAAAAATGAAGTTCATTGACATACACATTTTAAAAATTGCTGTCTTGCTCCAGACGCTACCTCACTGAGAACATGCAGCTGTTCTGTGTTTTAATGACTAAAATATTTGACACTAGGACTTCTTTTGTCTGAAATGCCTTTTCGAATGTCCCTCTGGGTAAGTATTTTTTATTCATACAAATGCACTGTAGAGTAACTGGCCTGTGAAATTTCTATCAGAAAAATTAGGTCATTTCCCTCCGCATAACAGAGCTAAACAAATCAAATATTTGGAAGTTCTTAGTTCTTCTGTCCAATTGGACATGTTAAATAGAATAGTAACAGCTGATTCCTACTTGTGAATCTAGGAGACTCAAGAGTCTGATATGTCGGAGATTAATTTGTTGCTGTCACTTTCATGTTTTTTCTGGTAAGTCTCTCTTGACCCTAATGTGTCTTAAGACTACTACTGATTTTACGTATGTATGTAAATATTTTATTCTACTTGGAAGACTAAAGATATCAGTCAATGAAGTCCATGCGAAAGAAACGTGTGCTAAAAATTTGCACCTTTGAACCCAAAGTCCAGGATCTGTTGCTGAATGCCTGGTATTATGTGAATTAGCCTTTCCATTGAATCTTGACTTCTGTGTTGCTGTTGACAAATAAAAATTGTGTGAGTACAGCTGTATATTCACGCCTACAAGAACAGACTTTTCAGAGCCAATGCTCTCCCTGGTTTTCCCATCGAGCCCTTGCAGCGGTGGAGGAAGTTTAGACAACCCTGTGTTGCTTTTTATTCAAGCCCAGGCAGAAGAAGAGGTGACAGCTTGCGCTGAGCCTTGTAGATTATTCTTACTGAGACTTCTGAGTGTCACTTCCCA